CCAGTAGCCTCTCCTGAATCTGACTCCAATTAAAAACCAATAAAGAGAGACCTGATGCAATGTGTAAAAAGTCTATCTGTATGAATGTGTGAAGAAAGTGTTCCTCCACCTCCTCCTCACATCTGACAACCCAGCATAATTGGTGACTGCTCCATTTTAATTTTTTTTTTATGGTAGAGTATGGTTATTTTATGCTGCGGAATGAATTATATGTTTTAACATGTATTTCTATGGGAAAATGCGTTTCGTATAACGGACTTTTCACTTAACCAATGTGCACCAGGAATGAAGTATGTTATACGAGGCACCAGTGTATTAGAAAGTACTTGTTATTGCAATAAGCACTTCTCTTCAAAAAGAAATCTTACTAACAAGCGTGTAGGTTTAGAACATAAGCAAATCCTGGTGGAGGAAAAATCTATATTCTGTTGTGAGACTTCATGTTCTGAAGGATTTTCTACTTTCATTCGATTACATGAACATTTGGAGAAAGTACTGTACCTGTACAGTACATGGATTTGCCTGTGAAATTGAGAAGCTGGAATTCAAAACTAAGAAGGGTAAGTAAATTCTCTTCTAAAATTTTAAAAATGCTGTATTTAATTAATATATATTAAAATAATTGTTTTCATGAATACTAACAGCTCATTCAGTTGTAAATAAAAATATTATGTACTATATTTGATAGATTTCTACAAATGGAAAGCCACAGATAAGTTGAGAACCAACTAAAGTTAACTGTGTCATACTGTCTAAAAATTCATGGAATTTATAAATTCTACTCGTGCGGATCTGGCGCACACAATTCAGAAATGTGCGGTACCTACAAAAAGAAAACATTCAATAATAACAGATTGTGCATATGAAAATGTTTCAAATGTGTAATTTTCAATAAATGTTTTTCATAAAGGAAACATCTTTTTTATGAATGGCTCTTTTTCTTAGTTAAAATTGAAATAAATCATTGCAAATCGGTTAAATGAGACTACAAAAAAGTTCACTAATATTTTACTGATGATGATAATTTGTTGATGGATTTAAACTACCAATTCAAAATACTACTGATTCTATTCTGTTCAGTAACATCTAATTAATTTGCTATATCTCCTCTGACCTGTCATCCATTAAAATATTTTTCTGTTCGTTCTACTGAGTTCAGAGAACAAATCCTTTATAGTGGATTGTTTACTTTTCAATGTCAAATGTCTGGCAACATCAATTTTTACTACTTTTTTNATATAAAACGTTTAAATTATTTCTAAAAAGCAATGAATAATTTTATTAAATAATACAAAAAAAATTCGAGTAAGAGATTGAAAATTCAGCAGGAAAATCTTGAGATTAAAAGAATTTAAGAACGAAAGTCTACATATTCTGTAGAATAACTTTTATAACATACTGTATAATTTTAAATATTTTGATAAAAATAATGAACAATAACCATCTTTTAAAGATATACAGTAGACCCCTTATAGCACAGGTTCCTATAATGCGGATTCCTATAACACAGTGAAAAAATTGCAACAGTATTCGTAAATAGATGCTAAAAGGGACGCATAAAACACTGTAAAACGTCATCGCTGACTCGTCTGGACCAATACTGGACAAGCAGCCGAATTACTTACACGCTATGAAGAGTTTAAGCGAGTAAGTTGAGTTTACTATCGTCTGTACAGTATGTAAATTAGGTACTGTAAGTCTAATACAGTACTGTAATTTTATACATTTCTTGTGAAAAAAACATTTCTTATTCAATGGCCATAAAAATTATTTCTATTAATGATGTCTCCAAAGTTAAACGAATTTTTCGCAGAAAAACAACTCATCAGAAAACGCGCCCACCATTCAGTGCGCTGCTCCACGACAAAAACAAGCTTAAGCAATGGCATCATCAAACGGTGTACACTCAGTAAGTAATCCTACAATTTTTTGTTTATAGCATAGTTTATAGGGATTATTCCCAAAAAATTATACATGTTTTGGAAATGTTGAGTCAAATTAGTCTACAGTTGATTAATTTTATGGAAGAAAACCTTTCAAACAGCCGTAGTCCGTAAACTTCACACAAGTCAGGCTGTGATTGGCTCATGTATTTAAGGATTCCTACAACGCGAAATTATTATAAAGCGGAACGTATCTACCATGTTATGGGGGGGTCTACTGTTTGAACATTAGACAAAAGAAAAATTTGACGTTCAACAAACAAACAGTAGCAAATTTTGTTCATAATAAATTAATTCTGACTGTGGAGTAAATACACCACAGTCAGAATTACGCTTGTCCAGATTCTTGACATCATGTAGTAGCGACATCTCGTGGTAAAAAACAGAACTACGACTATGAAATCGTTCTGTAATTAGACACCAGTCTAATAACCAGTTCACACAAATCCCTGGAGACAGAACTGCCATGGGGACACCTCTGGTTTCACCCCCCCAAAATTGAAAAACAGAGCTGTAACAAATTAAATTAAAACTTCCATGCAGAAGCTAGTCCTTCTGTATCCCTGGTTGTATTAACGCCAGGGATGCAGAGGGACTAGCATCCGCATGGAAGTTCTACATAAAAAAAAAACTAAAATGCAAAAATTCTTAGCCCGCACCTGTCCTTACACTTAGTGGCATTTTTTGTGTATTTATTTTATTTTTATTTTATATATGTTATAAGTGCCTGCTCAACAATCTCGCAAATACTATAAAAGAATTGTTTCTGTCAGAAAAATAAAAGGCTGGAATTACAAGGGAGAGTTTCAAAGTTCGGAGGAATACTATCTGATCAGTATATACCAGGTTGAGCGTCGATGTTGGCATCTCCCACGCTCCGAAAAGTTTCGAATTGTTGTCTAAAGACAAGGAAAGACCAATCGGTATTCATTATTTTACATTGCTTCTTGTGTTTTTTCTGCAAAGTGTTTGTTGTCCGAACATAAAGATCTTTCGCAAAAGTGTTCATTATCCGATTTGTTCGTTAACTGATCACCCATTGTACTCGTCTTAACACTACTAATGATTCTTTTTGTTGGTTCTCAATGAACATCCCTTTGTTTACAGAAATTTCCATTCAACATATGAACTCCCATGGGATAGAACAAGGCATATATAAATAAACTTATGTAGATTTTGCAGTTCCTTTTCATTGAGCAAACTGGAATATAGTTCAAGTGAATCATAAGTTCAGTTAAAAATGTCAATGCATATTTTCTATTGACCCACGAAGAAAAAAAATGAATTCGCTAAACTCCCTCATAATATTTGTAACTGTCATCATTGCAGTCAGATGAAAGTGTTTTACAAGCTCCTTCATAACCAGTTTCAGGCAAGTTTTACTTGTTTTTGGTGAATAAACAATCAAGTTTGGATTCAAACAAGCAATGTCTTTTACAATCTTAAACTTGACAGGGTTGCACTCCTGAAGCTTTTCCATCAAGCATGCTAGGATTGAACAACAAACTGATAAGAAGTAGAGATGATTCAATTCACTTCATGGTGTTTTAGATCAAAATTGCCATCAATTTAGCTCTATGTTGACAGTTTTTGATGAGGACCTGTAAAGTGTCATTTTTAAAAGTTCTTTACAAAATCTTAATTAGAAAAAGCATAATCACTGTTTAAACAGACCATATTAAATTGATTATGCACAATTAATTTGACATAAGAGTATTTTTAACTTTTTTATCAAGCTGAAACATTCTCATACAACCTACAATCTGTCAGTTGCTTACAAAAAATTTAGATATGTTAGTGTTAATTTCAGTGTAAGACGCAAATAAAAGTTTCCTAAGTACTTTTGATTTTCCCTAAAATCCTTTTTGCATGATTTCCCTTGATAAAATTACTTCAGAAAATTGGAATTAATTCTCCAATTTTTCAAGAATTTCCCTAATTTTCCTGACCAACACACATTGTTCCTATCTTCAAATTGAATTTTCATTCTTGAGAAAAAAGCAAGGAAACTTTGTTAAATTCAACCCAGAAGAATATTAAAAATTAATTAGCCATCATGCATGCAGCAGTTTTCAGCTAAGTGAAGATTATTTTGTGACAGATTGGAAAAAGTTTCTCCCTTAAGATGCCACCAAATTGGCATGTCATATTTTCAGAAGCCAAGAGATTCATCATCAAGAAACCAAAAAAATGGAAGTATTCTACAATCAGATACAGAAAATGATAACACAGTAAACAAGAAGGGGAAAAAATTTCTGACTTGACATCAAAAGAGATGACAAAAGGGTTTTGTTAAATGCTACAAAATTTATGAAATCAGGCATCATTTGAAGATTTTTGAATTTAGAATAGGTCTTACAAGTTATCCAGAACAGGAAATAATTTTCAAATTTCTAATTAGATTAAATTTCTTAACTAACAGATTTAGCATTCTGAAGCACTTTCAACTCAAATTCTTAATATTAAAAGTTGGGAAACAATGGATTCCTTTGAATTCCATATAAATTTATTGTCACATGAAAGTGCAAATGCAACACATTGACAAACTGCAATACGTATTCTAAGAATTTAAGTCCTGTAATATTGGCTAATGTACCTTCTAAATAAATACTTTTAATCTTCATTTTCCAAGAGTTAGCCGTCTCTCAATCATCATCATCATATCATTCCAAAACTCAAAAAAAAGAACTACCTTGCATTATCCATCTTATATACTTCAATATCTTCCTAATTCTTCATTGAAATTATAATTTCATTGACTAACAGTCTACATTATAGACATTCTATGTGTGAGTTAATAAACCAAATAGCATTGTCAAGTTTAAAAGCTTTAAAAGATTATTGAATACTGAAAATTAAACAAAAGTGAATAAGACACTTTGGAATGACACTCCTCATATATAAGTAAAAATATATATTAGTTGATTTTAGGATAAATATTTATTTGAATGTTATTTTTATTAATCATTCAGATAATCATTGTATACTATGCCTTTCTGCAACATTAAAATATATTGAAATACACAAAATAAAATTATAAAGCAGTAAATGACTTACTTGGTTACATTTTCATCAAAAGGATAATATGTTCTGCCATCATAAGTTATGGAAGGTTGAACCAAAAATCTGTAGTTGATTTGAATTGGAGAAAACCCTCCATTTTCTGGAGTGGAGCCTAAAAATTTGAACCAAGTATCTGGAGCACATTTTTTGCCCTCACTTCCACACATGAGCTCTAAAACAGAAGCTCCAGGCATTAAGCCACTAACATCTTTACAAGAATCAAAAGTTTTATATGCAAACCTAGAAAAAAAAAGTTTTAATAAATATATTGCTTATTAAATCTATAAACAAAGACATTTAATATAATAGACAATTTTCATTCTGTATCATATCAAATTTCATGGACTAGCTTGAACTATAGGATTCATGTTACAATTTATAAAATATAACATGCAAATCAAAGCTTTACAATATTTTCAATGCTACTGAACATTAAAAAAAAATTTTTTTCAATAGTCAGTCTGATTCACACATGCATTGTTATGAACAGGGGGGAAAAAATATTCTAAGTAATATTGTACTATGCAATATTTCTCAGAAATGTGTTCACCAAGAAAAGCTTCAGTCTTGTTTTTGTATTTTCAATAATGGCAAATGTAAGTGCATTAATAAGTGTTACTAAGTGAGAATGTCTTATAACAAACTTCATAAAATTTGGGCTTTTGGTTCATTTCATTCTGAAAGTACAGCAGCAATTGTAGGAAGAAATTTAGTATTATTATATTTTGATGTTAAAGTATAAATTCCTATGTTTACTTGAAAAGTTTGTCATTTCAAAATCATCTTCAGGCTGAGTGTATCCTGCTTTGGACCGATTCTTTTCTTCCAGTTTAATCTATATTAATTAATTATTATAATTATTAATTTTAATATGAGATGGTGCCTAACACCTCACTCTAGTGCCAAATTCATTTCTAATTTATAATCATTATATCCAAATTTAGCCCGATTATTTACAGCTGTTATGGGCGTACTTGCTTCATATACTGGGTTTTGGTTGTGTATATTGGTATAAAAAAAAAAGCGCAAGATGGTAGATTCAGTAAAAGTGCAAATAACCAAACTGAATAATATGAATTATATGGTATGGAAATGAAAACCAAAGATTTGGGTAAGTAGTAAAAAATGATTTACCCCAAGAACCATCAATGAGATGGACAACTAAAGAAAATAAAACAAGAGGATTGATAGGCTTAATGATTGAAAACAGCCAGATTGTGCATATGAGAAAAAAAAAGCATGGCTAGAGATGGTTAGTGTGCCAAAACTACCACAAAAACTTTCATTAAACTCAAAAGTTCATCTAAAAAGATTTAGACAAACTAGATGATAATGGGGATATGGAAGAAAACACAACTGCTATTGACAACATAATAGAACAGCCAGCTTCTATATGAGATAAAGTTGATAACAAATTATAGTTTCCTAATAGTTAACTAGATTGCCTGAAAACTATGATATAAAATTATACTGGAAACAAAATCAGAAAAGAATTTGACTTCTGAATTAGTCTAAAGCAAGTTACTTGAGCAATATGAAAGTAAAGTATCAAAGGAAACTATGACAAAAAATAAATTAGTGCTGCTTCTATAAAAAAAAAGATATCTGAAAAAGGAATACAAAAAGTTACAAAATTTGGGAGTCAAAGCAAGTGATTAGAGAAGCAAAAAGAGCAGATCACAAGACAAAGATTATTCAGAAAAGAAGAAATTAAAGTAAGAGTCAATGGTTCAATAGAAGACAATGTCTATGTAAACTTCAAAATAAGTGTCAAATTTACCCATAGAACTGATCAGTGGTTTATCAATTCAGGAGCTAACACTCAAATGTGCAACTCAAATTTAGTTAATAGATCTTAAGACAATTTTGTTTGTGAGTATAGTGCAATGAACACATTACCAGTGCATGAAAAAAAACTTTAGTCATAAGCCAACACAGGAGTGAGATACCGAAACTCAAGCTTTAAGAAAAAAAGTATAAAATTAGATGAAAATTTAATTTTGGTTTCTACACTTACAGAAAATGATACTTAACCAAACAATCACCAAAATTAATAGGGCTATTTTTGCTACTATTAATAATTAGGTACTAAGTAATTTGGTATTAGTGGTAGATGTTAGGTAAAGTTATATGGAGGGGTGTCAGCATCCTGTGTGAGTCTTTCTCCAGTTTAATAGTAGGTGCCCTGGCTTTATCAACTACCGGTCTTAGTTTGCACCCCTGTTTGTGGGTTTTTGCAAAAGCGAACATTCTAGGAGTGTCTGGTGCATCAGTAATAATATTTTTTAGTTTCAGCCATTTCGCTAGTTTCATATTGGCAAAGCGTTTAACCCTCGTTTGTAAATCAGCAATGGCGTTGCTGTTGCACAACATAGCTAACAATGTTAGCAATGTTGTGCAACAGTGCTACCACATGAGCAACACTGTTAACATTGTTAGCAATGTTGCAAAGCAACAGCAACACCATCGCTGATTTACAAACGAGGGTTAAACGCTTTGCCAATACGAAACTAGCGAAATGGCTGAAACTAAAAATTATTATTAATGATGCACCAGACACTCCTAGAATGTTCGCTTTTGCAAAAACCCACAAACAGGGGTGCAAACTAAGACCGGTAGTTGATAAAGCCAGGGCACCTACTATTAAACTGGAGANTTAAAGAAGAACTTAAGATCATTTCAGACAAAGTTAAACAGCTTGTACTGTGCAAAAACAATGATTTTCTACTTAGAGCAAATCAATTTTTTTCATAACTTGCCAAAAAGAAAACGCTCTCAGTTAATTAATAGTGTTTTTAGTGATGACGAAGAAAACATTGTTTAATTTATATTAATATGTATCACTTAAAAATTTTTATGAAGATATTTATCTTAATTATGAAAATATACTAGCAAGTTTTTTAATTTTTGGAACCTAACCCTCCTTTTCATATTAGTTCTTTGTTTCGTATAACACGGATTCGCATAACATGGCAATTTTTTGGAATGTAACTACCGTGTTATACGGGGGTTACCTGTATTTATATTAAATTATATTTGCTGGTATATTTTGAAGGTTTTGTTTGTGTTATTTACCATTGTTTAATGATTTAGAGATAACTAAAAATGTTAACATTTCTTTAGTGTTATCAATAATATTGATAATGTACAATTTCTCCCTAATTTTCCTTGTATCGTATTTTCACAGATTGTCGAGCATGTCAGTCTATCCAGGGAGACCACAAAATCAGATATTTCAGTACGGTAAAAACCAGCTTGCCTGTTTTATCCCGGGGAATATTGACATGCCAGTTTAAGTGAGGTTTATACATTCCTCTCTATAGGACACATGAAAGAAATGAACAAGTTTTTATTCTAAAACAAACTGTTGGCATTACGTCAAAAACTACAATTATATATTTAATCTATTTGTTTTGTCTTCTTTCTAATGATGTAAAATACTCGTGGAATGCCCAAAATGGTTTTTTTATCTTTATTTTATTGAAATTTGATTCAAAAACAAAAATACAGTAGAGCGTCGTTTATCCGAAAGCCAGTTATCCGAAAGAATTCCAGTCAGCAAATTTAAATTTTCGCTAGTGCTGTGGCGCTGCAATCTTTGGCTATATCTTGGCTACTCCAATATTTGTTTTTGTTGGTGTGTGTGTTTTAGCTTGTAGCACTGGCACTTTTGTGTGGTNATTAATTAATTATTATAATTATTAATTTTAATATGAGATGGTGCCTAACACCTCACTCTAGTGCCAAATTCATTTCTAATTTATAATCATTATATCCAAATTTAGCCCGATTATTTACAGCTGTTATGGGCGTACTTGCTTCATATACTGGGTTTTGGTTGTGTATATTGGTATAAAAAAAAAAAGCGCAAGATGGTAGATTCAGTAAAAGTGCAAATAACCAAACTGAATAATATGAATTATATGGTATGGAAATGAAAACCAAAGATTTTGGTAAGTAGTAAAAAATGATTTACCCCAAGAACCATCAATGAGATGGACAACTAAAGAAAATAAAACAAGAGGATTGATAGGCTTAATGATTGAAAACAGCCAGATTGTGCATATGAGAAAAAAAAAGCATGGCTAGAGATGGTTAGTGTGCCAAAACTACCACAAAAACTTTCATTAAACTCAAAAGTTCATCTAAAAAGATTTAGACAAACTAGATGATAATGGGGATATGGAAGAAAACACAACTGCTATTGACAACATAATAGAACAGCCAGCTTCTATATGAGATAAAGTTGATAACAAATTATAGTTTCCTAATAGTTAACTAGATTGCCTGAAAACTATGATATAAAATTATACTGGAAACAAAATCAGAAAAGAATTTGACTTCTGAATTAGTCTAAAGCAAGTTACTTGAGCAATATGAAAGTAAAGTATCAAAGGAAACTATGACAAAAAATAAATTAGTGCTGCTTCTATAAAAAAAAAGATATCTGAAAAAGGAATACAAAAAGTTACAAAATTTGGGAGTCAAAGCAAGTGATTAGAGAAGCAAAAAGAGCAGATCACAAGACAAAGATTATTCAGAAAAGAAGAAATTAAAGTAAGAGTCAATGGTTCAATAGAAGACAATGTCTATGTAAACTTCAAAATAAGTGTCAAATTTACCCATAGAACTGATCAGTGGTTTATCAATTCAGGAGCTAACACTCAAATGTGCAACTCAAATTTAGTTAATAGATCTTAAGACAATTTTGTTTGTGAGTATAGTGCAATGAACACATTACCAGTGCATGAAAAAAAACTTTAGTCATAAGCCAACACAGGAGTGAGATACCGAAACTCAAGCTTTAAGAAAAAAAGTATAAAATTAGATGAAAATTTAATTTTGGTTTCTACACTTACAGAAAATGATACTTAACCAAACAATCACCAAAATTAATAGGGCTATTTTTGCTACTATTAATAATTAGGTACTAAGTAATTTGGTATTAGTGGTAGATGTTAGGTAAAGTTATATGGAGGGGTGTCAGCATCCTGTGTGAGTCTTTCTCCAGTTTAATAGTAGGTGCCCTGGCTTTATCAACTACCGGTCTTAGTTTGCACCCCTGTTTGTGGGTTTTTGCAAAAGCGAACATTCTAGGAGTGTCTGGTGCATCAGTAATAATATTTTTTAGTTTCAGCCATTTCGCTAGTTTCATATTGGCAAAGCGTTTAACCCTCGTTTGTAAATCAGCAATGGCGTTGCTGTTGCACAACATAGCTAACAATGTTAGCAATGTTGTG